ATGTGACAAATCAAAAAAGGAAACTTCATGTGTTCATTATGCAATGAGGCAGTCACAGGGGCATATTGATTATTCTGTCAAACTAGTAAGGCTGCCTTTTATTGATAGGATTCTCTAGTATAGCTTTAAGAAATTACTTGTGTCCATTTCACAAAACTAATCACAACATGTCTGTTAAGCAGGCAGTTAAACCATTTGATATGGTTTCCAATTATAAACTGAACAAAGAAAATGACAGAAATGTTGAACTTCTGTAGAAAGGCCAGACTGACACAAAATAACCAGTATTCACAGTGATCTAGCAAATATGATCCACATACAGAGATGATGTAATCGCACAAATGATACCCCCGCCCCGAATCGATGGATGCATCTGACTAGGATGTGTATCCTATTTGTGGTCCAGAAGGCACAAAGCAATGTACTGCTGTAGCTGGACTGGGTGAAACAGAGAGAGGGAAAATATTTAGGTACTAATTTGGCTTCCAGGTAATAATAAAGACAAAGTCAAAGATAACTGGGACATTTTCTTGTGGAAATAAAAAAAATAAAAAGAACCCTTTTTGTCTGCCTAGCTGAGCATCCTGTATCCCATAATGACCAATCAGGTGTACCTGGGAGCCCACAAACAAGGAATGAAAGTAATAACTTTCCATTTCCTCATCATTACTAATAGTCTTCAATGTGACTAGCTGTCTTTTAAAGCTATATAGGATAGCAGCCATGACCTGGATAGCCCAGACTAGCCCGATCTCATCAGATCTCAGAAGCAAAGCAGGGTCACCCCGGATTAGTATAAAGAGACCACCAAGAAATACTAGGGTCGCTTCACAGAGGCAGGCAATGGCAAACTACCTCTGAATGTCTCTTGCCTTGAAAACCCTGTGGGGTTGCCATAAGTTGGCTGCAATGACAGCAAAAAGGGGGGCTTAGCCATATTGTGTATTTTTAGGGAACAAAAGCAATGCTGATGTAGTTAAAGGAGGACTCATGGTGTTAAACCATATAATGAACTATTAGTGTTTTTGTTTGTTTGTTTATTACATTTATTTGTCACTGTTCCTCCAAAGAGTTCAGAATCGTTTACATGGGGCTCCCAAGCACTTTCGCATCCAGATGGTTTATAGGGCCAGACCTGCTTGGCTATAGCAATCCAACTGCACCAGTTTGCCTCCAGACCTTTCTCAAAGCATAATTATGCAGCACAATTGGTGCTTTTTAATACATTGAGCTGACCTTGAAGATCAAAAAGTATGCTATGGCTTAGAACAATCTTTTTTAAACTTCCCATTTAAAGTATCATGTTGGAAAAAAAATGAAAAGAAAGCAATAGTTCAATTAAAGATAAAATATTAATCCCACACTTATTAACAGTCTGGGATGTTTATAGAAATAAATTAAGTCCAGGCGGTTCGCCACTGTTTCCAGTTATTTACCATGCTGAGTTTAAGAAAGCAAACTCAATGGGAGGCTTCTTTTGAGGAACAATATAACCTAGCAAGTCTGTGTGACGTTATAATAAGAAACCATATGATTCCAGTCACTGAGATAATGGAGCAAGCAGAACGAGCCTTCCTAACTTCAATATTTACAAATTAAATCCTTTATTTGTGTTAAATAACAAAAAAAGGAAATTTGAGCAGCAGTCACCAATTTGAAAGACCTATAAATCTTAGTCAGTGTTATCTAAGTGTTATAAATTATTACCCAATGGAAAAGCTATGGAGGGCAAAAAAAACCTGATATGGGAAAGAAAATTAAAGAGATCTCTTGTTTTAAAGTATGACTCATTTAATTATCAAAAGGCAAATTTTGTGAAAGTCTGTAATATTTTAGGTCAGCTGGACAGAATTCCCAGTGTAATTGGGAATACCCAGTTTGGTGTAGTGGTTAAGTGCGCGGACTCTAATCTGGGAGAACCGGGTTTGATTCCCCACTCCTCCACTTGCACCTGGCTGGATGACCTTGGGCAAGCCATAACTCTAGCACAGCTGTTCTTGAAAAAGAGCAGTTTGTGTCAGAGTTCTCTCAGCCCCACCTACCTCACAGGGTGTCTGTTGTGGGGAGGGGAAGGGAAAGGAGTTTGTAAGCAGCTCTGAGACACCTTTGGGTAGTGAAGGGCGGGGTATAAGTCCAATCTCTTCTCTTCTTCTTCTTCTCTTCTTATATCTATCTCCCCTTTCATATGGTGGCATGCTTTAGTTCTTCACTTTATTCTCACGGTAACCTTGTGAGGTAAGGTGTAGGTAAGCATGTTGGTCCAATTAAAAATAAATCCAAAACCAAAAGATGTGTGAGACCTTTTATTAGGCCCAATCAATATGTTGGTTTTGTTTGTAAGCTTTAAATTCTCTGAAGCTGTTCATAAGGCTGAATGTTTTTAAAACTTAGAAGAAAAAGGTATTTCAGGCTGTTATGGAGTGGCCGTAAATCTACAGCTTAGGTTTAGATCTAAGTTATTACTTCCATGGGTTCAAGGACATCTTCCAACAGAGCAGGATTTAGCCATCTCTCCCCTCTCACAGCAGGCCAAACTGCCCCTGCTTCCAGGAACTGGATTTTGGTGGACATTTCAGGCTAGATTTTGGTGGGCATTTCAAGGGGGGATTCCCACTCCACAGATGGAAGTCCTTGTGCCTTCGGAAATGATTGTGTGGATCCAGTCTTTAGAACAGAATATAGGACATGTTGCAGATTTAATGTTAGTTGGAATAGATTTTTCTGGGAGTAAATCTTGTTTCACGATGCATCTAAGATTTCTGGGGCAAAATGTCAAAACCCTTTGAAAACATAAAGGGCAGCTGTAAATCAGAACCACTGAATGTAAATGTGTTGAGTACATTCACATTCTGATTGTGTCATGTAAGAAAGTTAAGGTTCCCAGACAGTATTTGAAGACACAGAAAGCGTATGTAACCATTATAGCTTGTCTGTCCATCTACCAGCTTTCAGCATCACATTGCTATAACATTACCAAGAAACAGAGTCCAGACTGCTGCTACACATATCATAACAGGTATGAGACTTGGTGGCTGGTCTGACTGAGGGCTGCTAAGGGCATAGAGAGTAGTGGTGTCCTTGCATGCACCTTTTTGCTTCTTTTCACATAAGGGAGTGATTACCATTCACTCCTATGAGAAAAAGATGAAACACTGCACTTGATAACACTATTGTAATGAGACCTCAGCCTGTTCTAAAGACGGTGGTTTGGCCTTTGCTGAGAAAATTCCTGCAATGGATGGTGCAAGGCATGTGCATGTCAATAATGTTTGTGTTAATTTTATGGAGGGCATAATTTTGATTATCCCAAGGTTTCCAGACTCTCATTATTGTTTCAGGGTTTTTTCTTTTAAGATCTTCCAAATTTTGGACTGCTTTCCCAGTTCCTTGCCCCATTTTGCCCCCTGGAGGCAACAGGAGAAGGGAGGGACAGAGAGAGAGGATGCTGGCCCCACCAAAGAGCTGTTAGTCAGTGTCTCACATCCTTTTACATTTTAAAGGGACAAGAAGGCCTGCCTAAAAGCTGATGCGGACTACTACTAGCCCTTGGAAATAATGGTGCCATTATTTGTACGGGTTGTAGAGCCACCAGATCTACCCAGTGGAAATAATAGGGAAAACAGCCAATAGGTGGGAGGAGGAGGGGATTGGAAGAGGGATTACCTGGGGGATTGAAAGAGAGCAGGTGGTCAGTTGGGCTAGTGAGTGGGCTCCTGCCACATTGGTAGGCTGCCTCCTACACTTCTGGGAGGCTTCGCTGAACAGTTTTCTTCTGGGCAAATTCAAGGTGCTGTTGTTCACCTTTAAAGCCCTATACAGTTTGGGACCAGCATACCTTTAGGAACTCCTGCTCAATACCTTTAGGAACTCCTACCTGACCACTGTGGCCATCATCTAAGGCCCTGTTTGGGTGACCCTGCCTTCTGAGATTAGACAGGCAGCAACCCAACAGAGGGCCTTCTTGGTTATGGCACCAAAATTATGGAGCCCCCTCCCTAGGGATATTCATAGGGTTGCCAACCCCCCCGGCTTGGCAGGGGTCCCCTGTTTTGGGGGGGCTTCTACCCACCGCTGGCCAGCTGGCCACCGAGGAAGCCCTTCCCCCAAGCCCCAACACCCGCAGCCACCCCCTCTCTTTTCTCTTGAGAGAAGAGGGAGAGGGGTGTGTGTGGGGGGAACACCAGCTTCTTTAAGTGCAGGAAGCCAGAATTTCCTGGAGAGGAGGGAGAGGGGCGTGCGGGGGGGGGGGGAATGCCAGCTCCTTTAAGTGCAGGAAGCCGGCATTTCCTGCGCACCCAATCTCCGGGGAATGCCAGCTCTCTGCACTTAAAGGGGCCCCTTTTAGTGGAGGGAGCCTGTGCTGCTGGAAGATCGGGCGGGCAGGCAGGACATCCCCAATGTGATGTCATCATGTCAGGGATGCCCCGCCCCCTCCAGGAACGCCCCCCCCAAAGTCCCCCACTGGAGGTGAAGATAGAAATTGGCAACCCTAGATATTCATCCGTCGGGTTCGGTCGCTGTCTTCTGCCAGCAGGTGAAGACTTCTTTGTTTCATCTGGCATTCCCTCAGTAACTCTCCTTTCTTCTCCAATTTAACTGCCATGTGTGTGTTTTTTTACATATGTAGTTTAGTTTTGTTTAGAATTGGTTTTGTCATCTGTTTTTATAACGCTCTGTTTTAATTGTTGAGCAGCGTTGGCGGTCCTGATCAAGCAGAAATGTGGGATATAAATAAATAATATGGCATTGTTGGAACAGTGCCCACCAAGAAAATTATGTGCCTTTTTAAGGTTTAGTTGGTGTCCACAAAGAGTCATCCCAATTGTTCTGGTTAATCTGATACCATTCACAGTTTAATAAGGAGACTGTTCTCCCTGATAAGGGGATTGAAGAAGTGAGGACAGAACAGCTGTTCTCTGTTTTTCTTGTACCACTCTGACACTTGTGTGTTCCGAATGTCTGCCTTTTGTAAAAGAGTCTGCTTTGCTTTTGTTTTCCAGGCCAACAAGTTCTTGGCTTGGTGGAGAATCAGAGTGACTGGTATCTAGGAAACCTCTGGAAGAACCACCGCCCTTGGCCAGCTCTTGGAAGAGGCTACAACACAGGTAGGCCACAGGGCTCTGTGAAGCTAAATATAATTTATTTACTTTTATTTATTTATTTTTAATATTTATTAGTCGTCTTTCTTCATTACAGAGTCCAGGGGTCGTTTTGTAGAAAAAGAGCTAGGGGAACTCATTAGCATAACTCATTAGCATATGCCACACCCCCTGACATCAGGGGCCCGGCGGTGGACCTGCAAGCCCGGCGGGAGTGCGAGGAAGCCCCGCCAAGGCCCTCCCTGGCCCCAGGCAGGCAGGGGTGGGGAGAGGGGGGGAGGAAGCAACTTGCCCTCCCTCTTCTCCTGCCTCCTCCTGGCTGAATGAGGGCCAGAAGCGGGGCGGCCGGAAGCAGGGGGCGGGGCTTCATCATGTGCTCCGCCCCCCGCACCTCACCCGGGGGAACTGCGATCCCCCCCGAATCGACCTCTGACAGAGTCCAAGGCAGCTTGCAATATTACTAAAATACATAAAATAGATTGCATTTTAAAAAGACATAAAACCAAAATTTAAAACCACAACTTAAGATTGCTTTAATCAAAGGCACTCCTAAATAAAACTATATTCAGCTGCTCCTCAGGATTGAAAGTGAGGGGGTCAGGCACACCTCCCTGGGGAGGTTGTTCTAGAATTGTGGAGCGACCACTGAAAAAGAGCCTCTCTTGCCTACCCACCAAACGAACTTCTTTGAATGATGGGACAGTTAGGAGGGCCTCTCCCAGTGATCTTAAGTCCCAGGTAGAAGCATATGGAAGAAGATGGTCCTTCAGATACCCTGGTCCCAAGCCATGTTAGGTCAAAGGTCAAAAGCAATACTTTAAATTGGGCTCAGGAATGAATCAGTAGGCGGTGTAATTGCTGTAATATCCTAGTCACATGCTCCCAATAACTGGCCCCAGCTAGCAGTCGAGTTGCAGTGTTCTGCAGCTTCCGGACACTCTTCAAGAATAGCCCCAGGTACAGCATATTGCAATAGTCTGGTCTAGTTGTAACTAAGAGTGTAACTAAGGCATGGATCACCATGGCTAGATCTGACTGACACAGGAATGGATACAGCTGGTGCACCAACTGAAGCTGGGGGAAAACCCTCTGAACCATCACAGCCACCTGGTTTTCTCTGGTGGCTGCTCTGTTGAGTAGCACCCCCAGGCTGCAAACCTGGCTTTTCAAGGCGAGTGTCACCCCATCCAAGGCAGGAAAGATCTGAAGCCCCTAGTCTGCCTTTTCCTCTTACCCAGGGAACCTCTGACTTGTTGGGATTAAGATTCAACTTGTTCACTCATCCAGCCTATTACTGACTCTAAGCACTCTCAGTGTCTTTGAGATAGCTTACACCTGTCATCTTGAAATAAGGTCTTAGGAAGGCCCATGGGATCTGTCAGCAAGAAGCCTATCAGGCAGTGCTGAGGGAACTAGACACTTCTTTCCTTCAGTGCCTGCTGCTACCCCTGGCAAGCAAAAGAAAGAGGTATTTGTACTTTTTAGCTCAGGTTGACTATTCAAATTCGCATGTACTCTCTAGAGGACAGGATGGGGTACTACAACTACAGTACAAAGCCAGAGGAATACTGACAATCCAGAAAACCTATTTATATATAACTAGGAGTAAGGCTCGTTGTGGAAGAAATACAATGAGCTCTAGAAGGAAGCTTCAGGTGAGTGTCCCAGCTGGGCTGGTGGGGCGGCAAAGGGAAGGGAAAAATAGAGGGAGGCAAGCCATGTTTATTTCCTTCTTCTTAGCTATAAGGCAGGGCTGTCTCAAGTCATTTTGCTGCCCCAAGTGGGTAGTATGGGAGGGCAGCCTCATGGTAACAGGTATGGTTCCCTCCACCCCTGACTTATGTTGATGTGGGGTTATGCAGTGGCAGCTAAGGTAGAAAAACACCTCCTCCCATGCCATGTCTTCTGGGCTCCAAGGATCTGGAAAGCAGTTCCATAACCAGTTACAGGGTTGCCAACTCTGGGTTGGGAAATACCTGTAGATTTGAGGGGTAAAGCCTGAGGAGGGCAGGGTTTGGGGTGCGGAGGGACCTCAGTAGGGTATAATGCTATAGAGTCCATTGTGCAAAGCAGCCATTTTCTCCAGGAGAATTGATCTTGGAGATCTCCAGGTGCTGCCTGGAGGCTGGCAATACTAAGGGGAGGTCCAGACCTGTAGATTTGAGGGGTAGAGCCTGGGGAGGGCAGGGTTTGGGGTGCAGAGGAACTTCAGCAGGGTATAATGCTATAGAGTCCACTGCCCAAAGCAGCCATTGTAATAGCTGGGAAATTTTCTGTAGGGGAAATGATGTGCTGTGGCTGGGAAACATGGTGATTTCTGGGAGATTTCCAGGCCCCACAGGGAGACTGGCAACTCCAGTTATCATTTAAGGGAAGATTTGGATATGTATTTTACCTCAGGACACATTGAATGACTCCCAACAGCAACAGCAAACTCTTTAGAATGTTAGAGGGAAAGGCCATTCAGGCTGCATATGCAAATGACCTGTGTTCTGACTGGCTACTGGGGGGAGAGGAACAGCAAACTGTTTAGAATATTGGAGGCGAGACTCAGGCAATGCCGCCAGTGGATAGGGACAGCTTCTGAGTGACACATCACAGAGCCAAATGATTTGGGAGCGTGTGGAATGTTCACACGAAAATACAATTATATATAAGGAGAGATGTGAAGGACAACTGAAATCTGTTGCACATTCTTCCTATTCAATTATGTACTTATTCCATAAAAAAAACTTATTCAGAATATCTCCACTAATCCATTTCACTGCATTTTGGATGTTTGGAATTTTTTTTCTTGCCTTCAGTTACTGGGAAAATGCTGTACAAAAATTCTCGACATGTGTATTGAACACTTGAGTTGTAATTTTTGACCATTTTTTGCTGGAAAAAAAATCATCAGTACATTCACAGTTTTTAATTTATTCAAATAATTTTTTTCCTAAGCCACACTGGTGAGGCATAGAAAATATTTTATTCCTGCCCTAAATTAAATCTTTGGCCTCTTTGACCCCATCTGCAAAATGAAGAAGGAATCCCCTTCTGTTTGATACCAGCTTGTTGCTCAGTCCCTACTACAGAGGTGACAAAAGAGATGTTTGCAGAGGCTTTTCAACTGCTCTGCAGCCATCCTTTTCCTGGAGACAAGCCACATCTTAGATTATTCCTCAAGCCTTTTGGAATCACCGTGAGACCATTTTGCTTGGGCTGATAGCCTTGACTAATCTGTTAGAGCAACAGCAGTCTAGAGTATATTCATCTTACTTGCCTTTCACAGTTTTGTTTTTCAAGGAGCAAGCTGGGTTTTCCAAGAAACTTCAGAGCCCTTGCGCTCACCACCCATTTCCTCCATTCAACCACCTAGGCCACCTATGAAGCATGTGTAGGTCCAGCAAGTAATACTCTCCCCAGAGGCTAACTTCAAAGTATAGAAGATATAATTCTTTCAGTAAGGCAATAGGGTCATAATTGCCGATATAAAATTAAAAAAAACCGACTGTCAAATCACCTTCCCCAAAAGGGGGGTGGGGGAGGGAGCTGTATATTGTCTGTGAATTTATTGTATTGAGAAGGACATATATTTTCTGCTGATTTGTGTGTGAAGTGTGAGCAGGCATGCCAGGTGCATAAAAAACTCACACACATATGCATCTAAATCAATTCTGTCTCATGCTTTGTGTGGTAGGGTAGTGACTTATGTTCCATCTGCACCTGTAATAAAAGGGGAGAACAGATGGGGAAGGATTCATTTCTAAAAAGATGTTTTCCTTTTAAATAACAATGCACCACCAGCCTGTTCTTTATTGTAACACAGATTTTGCTCCAAAGAAATCCTTGGGTCTGCGTGGGGGGGGGAGGTTAATTGATGGGAAATGACTTCAACAAGCCATATTTGTTGTGTCTGTTACAGGCTTTATATGGCAGTGGAAGGGCTAGTGGTGTCATCACTCTTCATCATGTGCAAGTGCATCATTCAGTTTAGATCAGAGTTCTTAACATAAATGTGTTCCTGGTTTCCTAGACCATGACAGTGTTCCAAAAAGTGATACATGAATGATACATGAACCTTTAATACGTCATATTTTCTGCATGCTTTCACGGTGACATAGCTTTATTATCTTCTTCATGGTCTCTGTGCAGTCCCACACATGGGTTCTGCGCCTGCGCTCAAACCCAGCCTCGGAGAACTACAAAAGCTAGCCTCTGGATTTTGGCGCACTTCCTTCCCGCACTCTGGGGAGCAGATACCCACTGCGCATGTCTGGAGCGAGGAAGGAAACACTCTCCCACTCAGTTTCTTCTCAACCACCACGCTGGTCAGACCTACCTTGCTGCGTTCTCTCTACCAAGCTGCCTCATAGGCCCCTTCTCTTCCTTTGTCACCATCGTTCCTCAACCTCTTTGTCTCCATCTCTACAAAAAAAAGAAAAGAAAAAAGAAAAAGAATTCTGCCTTTCTGTGAGTTTTACTGTCCGTCGTCGTCATCCCCCCTTCCCTTCCCTCCCTTTGGCCCCTGCTGGCGCATGGAAGGGAAGACTCATTTCAAATACACAGTGGTATTTCTGGCCACTGTGTGATACAGAGTGTTGGACTGGATGGGCCTTTGGCCTGATCCAACACTGACATCTCTTATGTTCTTATGTTCTTATTAATGCTGCAGAAATTTGGGGGGGGGGAATCCCTACCACCGATGAACATTCCCTGTATCTTTTCTGTCTGGGTGAGACCCTGTGCCCACTGCAGCAACTTTACAAAACAGGCTCGAAAGAACCGAGCTGCGAGACTGAAGAGCCACCTCCTAGAGACCTCCCTGCGCCTGGTGATGTCCCAGTCTTCCAGCTGCAGAGCCTCGCTGCCTCCCCCAACTCTGAGGGGAGATTCAGCCAAGTCAGCAGCATCTTCGGCCTCAGGGGCCCTGAAGTGTAAGCCCAACAAACAGTCCAAAGGACTCTCCGCTTCATCTCTTGACACACCGAAACTGAAGAAATCACACAAGTCTAAGGACCGGT